GGATAAAGGCGAACCTCTCGAAGCTGTTGAATCATTGGGGTTTTCTTTTCTTTTCTTTTGTTGTAATAAATTATTTGTAAAGCAAGTATTGCTTACTATTAAATCTGATATATTTATTGAATGTTTTTAAAATGAAAATGCTAAAATATATACGTTTTTAGCAGCATTTCCATTTAGTTGCCTACTTCTGTAGATTATTCACAAGTAGCCAACCTTACCGTACACTTTCATTGTAATAAGTAAGAAAATACTTAGATACTTTAATCTTTCACACAATGGTAGGCCTACCTGAACTGGCGATTCAGTTGTTGAGTTTCCAACAAATGTCGGTACTTGAGCCCTGACCTTATCATTATGAGTCTACACATCTAGCATTTGGGTTCAAGCGCACGACGCGTCTTGTTGGGACAAGCGGTCAGGCAGATATCCATATTACGTACAATACCACAAAATAATCCAATAATAAAGATGTCTGTGCAGTGTTTCTAAATATTACACCCAGTAGTGTGTTGAACCTGCGTCTCATCACGCCCCGCTGCCTCCATGCTGGAAAGGTCATGCACAAGGTAAGTGTATTAATATTCGGTGCGGACAGTATCAGTACGAATGGTGTTCGTTGGAGGCTTATTTCACTCAATAAGGCTTGCTGTACATAACTGAGATTGGCACTAACGCTTGCTAACGAAATAAATTTGACTAAGCGTCGGCAATGAAGAATACCTGTATATTATTCAGTCCATCCCATACACACTGTGGTGCATCCGCGTTTTTAAATCAGGAGATGAAAAGTAATGCCTAAAATATATATCGATGAGGGTGCGGCATTTTTGTCAGCGGCTAAACAGACCGATCACTATTCAGAGGATGTACTATGTACGATCAGGTATAGTGAAGAAACCATTGGGGAATAAAAAGCTTCGTTGACACGGTGTCTCAATGTTGGTGTTTAACCATAAAACTGCGCCCTTCGTCTCACACACATCCACTGATTTTAAATGAGGACGATATAAACCGGGGACACCCTTGAATAACAACTCGATTTATAAAATAAGCCGTACAAGTCAGAAATGCAAGTTCCTCAATGTTTGTTTTGCATACACATGCTTGGCTTGGCGGAAAGAGTCTTCCAACGTGTTTTCCTAATTATCAATAATGGCAAATCAAAAATTAACTTACATTTATTTTCTAGACTCAATCCGTCTCCAAAGAATATCTATTGTACATTTCCGAGGGTCTATAGCAGTATTTAGTGACGAAATCTAATAATGAATAATAATTATATGACTTTAAAATACGGGTCTCGTAGCTCGTAAACAAGACATCCTCGAGCTAAACATTACTGCACTGATGAGTGAAATATATTATTCCTGTGCATCGCATCCCCGGCGGACGATGTTCAAACTATCATCAGCATGGGGAGCAGTGGTTAAGGCTGCTGCATGCTAATAAGGTCCTCGGGCACTTTGCTATGAACTGAACACGAAGCTATAATTGATGGTGTCACCTGTAATTTAGGACAACACAATATGCTGTGTGAGGAAAGCAAATGACTGGAAGAATTCAGTGATATTTGTTTATACGGTGACTTACAATGTTTAAAATATTCGGATTGCTAAACTATTTGTGCATTAACAGCCGATATTTGCGTGTGAATATCTGATGTTACTTTTGAATACCTGCCACGTTCGTTCAACAGTATCCTAACGAAAGTAAAGAAATTGTGGTTTTAGTTCTTTGTACAAAGTACTTTAAACAGAGCTGCACAACGTTTTACAGTATTTTGTGTGTTGCAAATTATGTGCAAACTAGGTTTCCATCGTCAAGGAACATTCCATAATGTATATGGTTCGGTTACCATTGTCATTGCCAGACTTTATAGACTGTGTTTATCCCGAATCGAAATCATAAAATACTGATGTTAAAATGCGCAAACTGACCTAAGTGAAAGGGAAAGTCCACTGAATCTCTGTCGTCACGAGTATTATAGACCAATCCGGGCACGCTAACAATTCTATCAGGATGGCCCCCTTCAATGGCGAAAGCACTGCGCTTTCAGATAATCTGTCACGGGGCACTTGCTTTATACAATAGCGTGCACAATACGGATGGCTTCTCCATTGAAGCGTGTAATAATTTTGCCTTAATGGATTGTCTATACCTGCATCAGTCTTTTACATACTCGAGCCACTCTCAGTATACTTGTTGATTCGTTGGTGTTCGTGTGTCATTTACATGTGAAACCAGTAGATTATCATAATGATCAACGTTGTGTGACAAAGCATAATGACAAATGTTTATAAGTTCACACATAATAAAAAAAAACATAGATATTTGTATGAATCGACTATCTTCACAATTTAGACCTACACTTGATTTTCCTTTATTATCATGTTGATTATGAGTTGCGGGCAAGGTAGGCCCTAGCAGTAGCCAATCTTAATTTTTTTTTTTTTATAGAGATACAAGTTTTAGCCCTTTAAATATAAATCCAATCAACATTGACTGCAACACATGCCTCAGGAAACAAAAAGGTTCGACACATTGATGGCTTTGTTTACATAGGCCTATATATGTAATTTCAGTATAGTTATATCGTGACGCACGATTCGGTTCTACTTTCGTGTTACATGACAGTTGAGAAAATGTATCATGAATGCAAGTCACCCTAAAACCAACCAAACAAACACACACACATCAGCACCACCTCAGTCCACATATTTTCACGAAGAGATGGTCATGTCGATTTGAAGAAAAAGGTTTTCCAGAAAATCGCAAAAGACGTTCCTGTTGCGAAAAGTACAATTTAGAAATAACGTTGCGATGAACTCATCATGTGATTTAGTGAGAGGTTAACGTTGTGCGGCCCCATTACATATCATTCACGCCGTGGTAATTAGCCAAACCTAATGATTAAAGTTTCCCGTTCCTTAGCGAAAACGAAAATTCAAATTTATTCTACTTGAACGCCCTACCTTCTGTTACTACGTCTTTTGTCAAAAAGGAAGGGGGCGCGTGTTAAGGCGCGCCCGTGAAACGAAATTCTCAGTCGGCCAAATTTGTATGCCTTTCCGTTCAATGCATATTTGTGCTCATTCGTGGGACGGTCATAATTATTAGCATCTCTAAGTGAACACAGAAATGCAATTTTTGAAATGTCTGGCCTTTGTATGCATAATCAGTGTAATTAAGGAATTTAGTAAGTTATGCTTATGGCAGCTTGCCAGAAAAAAAATACGACGTTTAAGAGCAAAATATTGAAAAAGGGCATTTTTTATATGGCCGTCCCCTTGTGAAAACTGTGTCCTGAATATCTCGACATTGACGGACACCGAGTGTCCTTCCACTCTCTCACGGTGACCATGAAAAAGGCATATTTTCCATATCAAACGAGATTTTATAAATCTTTGCCATTGGCATTCTCTTTCTAAACATGCCATGCAACTCCATCAATAGGACCCGCTATAATTCTTCATCATAACCCGGATTGATTACACAACCCCGCGACCCTATTTTGAATGACAATTCACCAAAATAATCCCCTTTTAGTTCCCTGATATTTGGATATCCCACGCTAGGATCAGTAACCACTAGCTGGTGAAAATACAACTTGCTTGAATAGAATAATTCACTACCTCTTTCCGTCAGAATTATCGGGCCCATTCAAAAACACCTGCTGTAGACAGTAATGTGGCTGTCATGCGCTGATAAGAAAACATTTTAGCGGCAATGTATAAGCGTGAAAACACCGACGTAACAACAGAGACACAATGACCGATCAGCAGCCTGGGTTCGTCTTCCTGATCATAGCCAAAACACAAACTGTAGTCTGGTTTCCGCCGATCGATCTGTCATGATCTTAGCGAATGAAAATGACACCCACAGCCCTCACAACATCTCACATTATAGAGTATGAATGAATCGACATAATATGTCAGAAATGTCTTCAAGAAAAGTTCTCTTTGCCTTCAGTGCGTCCTTTAACTGGAAAGAGTAAAAATAGTACAATGTATCCTACTTCTAGGAGCCCCGCCCCTTTTAGACCCTGGAACACTGTGGGAGAATGACATCCTCTGCATGTGATGTATTTTTGGTCAGTTTATAGACTCTGCGACGTGGTTACTGAACATCATTTCAGCTCCGTATCCAAGCAAAACGACATAATTATGCATGGCGAAGACGGGGAGAGGGAAAAAAACCTTCAATTCGTGGCGAGCTGATGAAAACACGCGTGATGTGAATAAACGCGGTAGAGGAGCGAATATAAGCGACCTACAGGGTATGAGAAAGAAGATGGGGTAGGGAGAAGACTAGACATTACGCTCTGGGTATGAGTGGTGAGTGCAGAGTCCATGTATGTGTGTTGTGTTAATGTGCGCAGTCTTGAATGTTGACATTATTCTTCAGGTGGCTGTATCATAATGCGTTTAAGAGGCAGTCTCTGAGGCGTGCTTCACAAGGTCCGTTAAAAAAAACGAATTTATTAAAGAAAAAAATTGCATATGAAGAATTTGAAATTGCTAATGCGAAACTGTAAACAATAAAAATTGCGAAATTATTTGTATCGCTTTGGTTCTTTGGCAAATGTTAAACCTATTTTCGTTTAATCTATTTCCTTTTACAATTTATATCAGATATAAGAAATAACTACAGTCTGACTTTAAATTATTTTTCCGCATATCAAATCAAAGTTTTTTGTGACAGATTCAGAAAAAGCATCCAAACAAGTTTACGAGTTAAACTGTAATAAAACAGGAGTAAAATAAATATACAAAAAATCTCGATTCGAACTATGCGAACATTCTTCAGTAGGTCTACTTTATAAGAAAAAAATATATATCCCAAACATGTTGACTGCTATATCAAAGTAAAAATGAAATGTTAATGTTTGTGCTGGGAACTCTAGAAAAAAGCATTCCATCGAAACAACACCAACATATCTAGTCTTCAAATTTCGCAGCCATAAAAATAATTGGTTTGAACTATTTTGTTAACGGACTTACCTGCTCCCTGCGCAACAGTGGAGCCGAGCAGCAACACGCAAGCAAATGCAACATCAACAAGGTTGTAACACATCCCAGCCATCTTAAATTAGTCGATGATGGAGACGATAGAGATGATGTCCTTATAAAAAAAAACACAAATCCAATCTGGTAGCGGATTGAGGAGATTATCAAGTCGTGACAGCAGGTTGTAGTTCGAGTGAAGGGGATTATTCGTGGCACGTTATCCGGGTTTATCACGGGCTGGGCTACCGCATCAAGACAGCACTCCCTGCATCCAACGCTTGCTCTCAGAGCTCACACACGGGCGTGTACTTGTACATAAACTGTACACATGAGCTTACGGTCAAAATCCAGGTACGGCTAGTTTCTTCCCTACGTTCACTCTCCAAACGGAGGATACGTCACACACGCACGGGTTCCGGAGAGGCAAAATTATGCAGCCTCGCCTTGCTATATCTGTCTGACGGGCCACTCAGCGCGCGCCGCTCGCGCTAGGCACCGATCGCTGATGACACAATTGCTCAGCGTACTATACGCTTTCAAACCCTGCAGCCTTGCTCGCAGCAACAGAGCATTATGCATGTAGGCCTACACTACATGTACATGTAGATGTACATGTACATTGTAGTGACACACGAACGTTGAGGTCACTTTCTGCAGGACAGACTGCGCGTGTTTATATTGAACAGGAAGGTATTGTTTAGGGAGTGCCTGTTCGCGCATGCGCCTAGCATAAGCACACCTTGATGCTTTTCAAGGATACGAGTACATGCGTTCTCACGGCTCACCTGTCTGCTTCTGCCACCTTGAAATGAATATGGTGCAAAAATAATCGATTTCGTTTTCTTCCTGCTTTGCTGTGCTGACAGAGCAAAAAGCAGCACAATATTCGATAGGAATACAAAGTGTACTGTTTATAAATAAGTGCAAAATACACGGGAGTAAAATACGTGTACTATGTTGGGCGTTCGTCATCAATGCAGTTGACAATTCCTTCAATTGTAACATCTTAACTGCTTAAAAAAGGTTTCGTTTGTCGAATACATACTTTGGACATCATTTTCCAGATGTATATCAGGGTGTTTTTTTATTACAGCCCCATAGAAGGAAAAATCATCACATTTATAACACACTGTTTGACCTGATACGTCGGGATAAAAAAAAAACGGAATTGAAAAATAATTGAAATAAATCACTATATTACTTGACAATTCACAGCTATTGTCGATTATTTTTGTTTTGTTTGCAACCTACAAACCATAAATGGCGAGAAACCCTCTTTAGTGTCACCTGTGTTACTATGAGAATTGAGAAAGCCAAACCCGTACCATGTGATCGACAATAGAGTACGTGTACTGGTAACAGGAAATTCCAATACATTATTTTCCATTCAACAAGCATTACTTGACGGCGGGTCACCGAGTCAAATCAATAGAACCGCATTATCATAATAACGCTAGCTGTTATTGTTTCCTTACGCTGTTGAATTCCACCAGGATTTCTGGCGCAATCTTCCAGGGAGCAGGTGCATTCGAGACTGGAGAGGAGTGGACAACACTGCAATCCTCACCATCCACAGAGAAGAATGTGTCATCACTTGCCATCATACTCATAAGCCCATGAAATTTCCCCCAGTTTGAATGGGTTTTTTTTCCCCTCGTAATCGTTTCCTTGTCTGTTTTCTTCCATCAATTGGGCGGAAAAGGATCAGCCCTGCCATAGCGATAGCTAGAAAGCCATTGAAGAGGATTTGATGGCGTGTTCCCCCCGTGATAGAAGACCTACGCAAAGGGTCATAACCTCAAAGAAATTATAATGGTCTTCAAAGAAGTCTGGCATGAAGTTCAGGTTTTTCATTTTCATTTCCACCAATGATGCACTGAAAAATTGCCTGAGTTAATTTTATCAAAGAAAGCGTGAAAACTGGAACTACCCAAACTTGGGTTGTTCTATAACCAATTGTTTGAGTAAGAATTTCTGCTAAATTCAACCAAAACTTAAGACCAAATTTAATTTGGTTTTGTATGACTACAAATGTTGGTTGAATTTAACATGAATTATAACCAAAGCATTTGGTTGTAGAACAACCCAAGTTTGGGTAGTTCCAGTTTTCACCCTTTCTTTGGTAAAATTAACCCAGGCAATTTGTCAGTGTGTCGGTGCATGCATAATTCACGGTAAGTTCAAAGGGCCCAAATTGCCTTAATTTTAGACTGAAGATTTTCATATCATGTGCTGGTGGGTGTTCTTCGTTATTTTAAATAGTAAGCCACGAGGCCTTTTCCAACTTGTCAAGAATTTCTTATGTTTTTCCTTATAATCTCGATTTTTGCTACCCCACAAGGGTAGCAAAATTCCAACCAATCGGAAACGACGGAGTCAGCATTCCACAACAAAACCGCAAAACCGCAAAATCAAGTTCGAAAAGGCCTCGTGGCTTCGCAACTCGTACGTATGGAACGCCAAAGCCGCCTTCTATAGTTCAATTTCCTTCCATAATCAATTTCATCATTCCATTCGGCGATTCCATCATTTCGTTCGGCGATTCCATCATTCCATTCGGCGATTTCATCATTCCATTCGGCGATTTCACCATTCCATTCGGCGATTTCATCATTCCATTCGGCGATTTCATCATTCAGTTCGGCGATTTCATCATTCAATTCGGCAATTCCATCAATCCATTCGGCGATTTCATCATTCCATTCGGCGATTTCATCATTCCATTAATCAATTTCATCATTCCATTCGGCGATTTCATCATTCCATTTAGCGATTCCATCATTCCATTCGGCAATTCCATCGTTCCATTCGGCGATTTCATCATTCCATTCGGCGAGTCCATCATTCCATTAATCAATTTCATCATTCCATTCGGCGTTCATCCTTTCATTCGTCCATTTCGCATTTGATTTAGCCATTCTACATATTTTCATTCAGCAATTTCGCCCCTTTTGCACTTCATGCTATTCTGCATTTCGCATTTCATGCAGCTATTTCGCATTTTATGCAGCTATTCCGCATTTCATTCGGTCCGGCAGCGTCCATCCGTACGGAAGCGTTAAAGGGACATAACACAAAGTAAAAAAAAAAAAAAAGTCATAATTAGGACTTATTATTAAGTCATTGTTATGACTTATATCTTATAATAATGACTTAGTGTTAAGTCATAATTATAATATATATCTCATAATTACGACTTAGTATTTGTTAAATCATAATTATGACTTATATCTCATAATTATGACTTATTATTAAGTCATATTTATGACTTATATCTTATAAAAATGACTTATTATTAAGTCATGACTTATATCTTATAATTACGACTTAAGTCATTATTATAACATATGTCATAAATAAGACTTAATAATAAGTCATAATTATGAGATATAAGTCATAATTATGATTTAACAATTACTAAGTCGTAATTATGATATATATCATAATTATGACTTAATAGTCATTATTAAAAGATAAAAGTCATAACAATGACTTAATAATAAGTCATAATTAAGACTTTTTTTTTTACTTTGTCTTATATCCCTTTAACGCTTCCGTACGGATGGACGCTGCCAGACCGAATGAAATACGGAATAGCTGCATGAAATGCGAAATGGCTGCATGAAAAGCGAAATGCAGAATAGCATGAAGTGCAAAAGGGGCGAAATTGCTGAATGAAATGTGGAATGGCTAAATCAAATGCGAAATAGACGAATGAAAGGATGAACGCCGAATGGAATTATGGAATCGCCGAATGGAATGATGAAATCGCCGAATGGAATGATGGAATCGCCGAATGGAATGATGAAATCGCCGAATGGAATGATCGAATTGCCGAATGGAATGATGAAATCGCCGAATGGAATGATGAAATCGCCGAATGGAATGATGAAATCGCCGAATGGAATGATGAAATTGCGAATGGAATGATGGAATCGCCGAATGGAATGATGAAATCGCCGAATGGAATGATGGAATCGCCGAATGGAATGATCGAATTGCCGAATGGAATGATGGAATCGCCGAATGGACTGATGGAATCGCCGAATGGAATGATGGAATCGCCGAATGGAATGATGGAATCGCCGAATGGAATGATGAAATCGCCGAATAGAATGATCGAATTGCCGAATGGAATGATGGAATCGCCGAATGGAATAATAAAATTGATTATGGAATGAAATCGAACTATAGAAGGCGGCTTTGGCGTTCCATACGTACGTGCTGACTTAATCTTTGCTCCAGTCGCTTCGTGTTTTCGCAGCTCCGCCGCTCTAAGCCACGATTGCCTTGGCGAAAGGCTAATTTAATCCAAACAAATCATTGCCCTCCAACTTCGCCTTAAAGGGGCACTACGGCCTGAAATCACCGATATAATTTATGTCTTAGATTGTGTACTCATCCTATTTCAAAGTTCTGGTTGAGAGGAAACTAATAACCTAAAGTCGCACTGTTTCCTGAGAAGAGACGACAAATTCCGGGTGTTTACTTACATATTGTGGCAGACGCATACGTGTTTCCAGCCGTGTCCATTCAATGTACGATACACGTATGTGACACATGATACACCATGGAGCTATGGATAACACACAGCACCAATAAATACATGTTGTTTCTCGCACATCCGCAGAATGCGATGCACTGGTGGGACATGTGCGGCAGGCTTCACGACTAGTACCCAACGGCTCGATTTTTGAGAGTCAAAATGGAGAGTGACCCCGAAATTTGTTCTCGGAAGAATAACACAAAACTGTCAAAAGGATAAATATCCCTTTGACGTATGATGTCTGGGCAGGAAACTGAAGATGAATGACCGAAGCGCGAAAAAACGATTATAAAACGAACTTGCTTTTTTCATTTACGCCAATCTCCACATGAGGCGAATTTCCAGAAACTTGGACGACTACTCGATGCAACATGGGCATCAGTATGTCTATATGCTGATTACACTAGCTGGACCAACTGTGAAATCCATTGTTATTTCCGATTTCGAATTCTGGAACGAAGTTCAAGTATCTCACCATGGAATATAAATGATACAAGTTTTAAAGTAACTCGGAAAACATAATGCAAAATGGAAAGGGTTTATTTTTTAGGAGTGGACATTATAATTCACAATGAACGGTAAAACACGTAATAAGCCTACATGTTGCAAATCAAATAACAAAGGACACGATATCAATTCATTACTTGCAATTGCGGTATCGATTCCAAATACAGAAAACAAGTTTTCCACCCAGGGCCAGGGGTTACCATTGGCAACGAGGTTGAAATGAAGTAAGACTTGGGGACGAGGTTGCTTAAGCCACTGTTTTTGCCAGGCGTAGCCAAGTGGTTCTATTCAGACATGTACTATATATTGCTAGACCTATGCGTTGTGCATGTTTCTATTCAGAAATGGACTAAGCTAGATATATGTGTTGTGCATGTTTCAATATCTATGGGTTTTCTATATGAAATGTCCATCACTAGATCTGTTTTTTTCTTCTAATTTTGCAAGTGGTAGGCTATAACATTGAACATTTTAAGACTGACCCACATGCATATCATGTAACATAGGCTATGTGACCTTCACTGCACTGCGTGATTATCAGGGTTCCGGCTATGCAGACTTGCACAAGGACAGATCCACAACACAATTTTGTGGGGAGCCCCCCCAAAAAGTTGGTCCCCCAAAAAGTGGGTCCCAAAAATTACGGCGTGGGGTTCGGGGCCCGCTTAAGGGCCCCGAAAAAAATTGGATTCTAGATGCTCTGTGGTGCGATCTGAGGCAATTTCTGACCACTTTGACAAAATCGCGTTTTGAGGAAAAGATGGCTGTGTACTCAGTGCCCGCCTTTATTACGACGTCACTTAAAAAATAATATTGGGTTCTTTTTTTTGGGGGGGGGCATGGCCCCCGTTGGCTCCCCCCCCCCCCCCCATATCCGCCCTTGGACTTGCACACATTGCGATATATATGTACATAGTGCACAGGCGTTTGAAGAAACAGTTTTTAAAAAAACATGTGTGACTGGAATGTCGCCCAGTATTCGTAAAAATCGTTCCAATTTACAAATCCGATGCAGAATAGACCATATTACCTGTGACTTCATACCAACTGGTAAACGACAGGCAACCCAACATATTTTGCATGTTATTTTTAATCAGTTTATGTCACCACTGTTAACATGCAGTGCAGAGGAAAGAACAGTTTGCTGAAAGTTGGCATCACGTGACCACAACATCCAATTTGTAAACAAATGTAACATGGTCTATACCACTGGATCCTATGGTACAACACATATAGGGTTGCTGCCCTCATGAGAACATTCCATTATCAGTTGGCGGTTGGGACTTGACAAAATAGAGTTGTTTGAGCGCATCGAGTGGATTGTAAAAAATAAGTCATTAATATATTTTTTTTTAAATCAAGAACTGAACATTGTCATGATTTCCTTTTTCAGAAATTTGATCATCACGTCACACATGCAAACACGAAAATTAATAGCCAAGATCTAATAAGTTGCTTTCCCTTTTGCATATTTTATGCCTTTTTAATACAACGGCGGTCTACATACCTAAATAGTTTTGGCACTTATAGTGATACACCCACAAACAGTACTGAACACTAACGTAGTTTTGGAAATTTAATTACAATATAAAATACATATATAAAATATTCCAGTTGGTATTTTTTTTTAACTTTTATTTTACTTACATCTTGATTACAAAAAAATAAGGTAAGCAGATTATCTAGATTTGATAATCAGTTTTTGATTCTGCTTTTCGGAGATAACACCTCTTGCCCAGGATGACTTGATGATATCGTCATTTTGACGGCACATCATTTTTTGTAAATAGAATACAATTCAGTAGTAATTACTTTGTACCTATTAAAGATGTTCTGTCCGTGCTGTTTTCAAGTTCAACCCGAACAAAAAATGGTTTGTAATCTGCTAACTTTCTATTATGCAAAAGTTATTCACTTTTGAATCAGGCATCGCTGAGCAAATCGGTTTTCGTTTAATTAAAGGTGACTTTCGTTCGAAGGTTTACAAAATTACGGAGATAATATTGAAGAAACCGTTTGTTAACATCTGACATATAGCTATACTTTGCATTTTCTATATATTGTTTCAAGCAGTGAATAAAGCAATCGAACTGTCAACATAGCACCAAACTGGCGCCGCATGAAATTCACTTCACGTGTGGCAATTCACTGTGTAATATCTGGTGCCACGCTGGGTTTCAGATTATGTATGTTACATGTGCGACTGGAATTACGACTAGCGCCTCAACGGCTCGATTTTTGAGGGCCTTAACTGCACGAAATTGCACGGAAACCGCTATTTTCCAAGGTATAATGTGTGAATGTTTATATTCTACGATCTTTCCAAAAATTATCATTTCGTTTTAAACTCGTTTGTAAGCCAAAAAGGCTCATTCCTGTCCAAAGTTCCCTTTTTTATGGAATACTGTTCTTTTCAAATATCTAATTATTTTGCTGCCCAAAAATAATTCAGTTTCCTCAGGATAGACTGACTCTTGCCTCCTTAGATAATTTAGATAATGCCGATATTATACCGTAGATAATGAAGGGATAGGAACCAGTTTATTCGCAGGGAGGATCGGATTGTGCGAAAAGCAACCAAAAGTAAAAGCCTTTTTTTAAGACGGTTGCATTTTTCAAATTGAAATAGAGCACTCAAAGGCAAACCTCGTTAGGAAAGACAAATCTAATTGGTTGAGGAGCAGAGACAGAACATCTTTCAGTTCTCAACAAATAAACTTGAACCCTCTTACCGAATACATTACATTATATACAATGTGCATACAGTCCCACATTAATACCTTTCAATTAAAACAAAACAGGGAAATGCGTACATAATTTCCTCTGTTATTAAAAAAAAGATACTTATTTCAGTATTTTATTGGCATACATATTACAATTTACAGGCCAAAACGCCGACTCATCTACAAACCAACCCTAATGACATGTACATATTATCCTATAGCTGCGTGCACGTGTGCATTTTGAAGTATAAAATATGAACTATTTCGGTTTATTGATACTGGGGTATACGATGCACATTTTCCATTTTCGACAACGTTTTGGACTTTTATACTCACTTATATTACAGATAACTGTAATCTTCAAAGGTTTGTAACAGGAGCGTTTAACGTCGTCGTTATCTATTTTCAACTTACAGAACTTTTGAGATTTCGGTAAATAATCACAAGGGCCTAAAAAGACGACCCCAGAAAATGATACATGGAAATTCCGAAAGAGGGTGCAATTGAATGGACTAAGGCTCTAACAAGGGTCTAACAGCCAAGGGTCTAACAGATGACAGTTGTGAAAATAAGCCAGCCAGGGACGTAGAATAGCTGCAAGTTTAAGCTGAAAAAAAGTTTTGTGACGCAGCTATTATGCATCCAGCTTTACCGAAACGGTGAACGTCGTCTAGCTGCAGCGCTGGCTATTTACTTTAAAGATTTACCGACCATGCTATGTTTTAGCATGGTTTTAGTTCCATACCGGAAAGACAAAATCTTTCTAACAATACAAAAGTTATTCATGTCTGATTGAGACCAAACTAATTTAGACGCTGTTCAGTGTTGGATTCGTTTACTTAACAAATTCAAAACTTTAGCGACCGGGAACATGTCTATTCGCAATGGAGATACATGTATGTTTTTGTGTAAAAGAAACCCAACAGAGGGCTTTTGCGAGGAATGCAAACACCAAAAATAGAAAAAAAAGTGGGTTTTTTTTCTTTTGAAGTACAATATACAACTTACAGGTGACAAACGTCAGGGAAAAAATCTTTGTTGGTGGTAATGACAATACCGAATTCGTAGCCCAACAATGCCATTATTAACATCCTATCTTTGGCCTCGGCTGGCATTGCTTAATACAAGCCCCAGAAGCTGCTCAGACGGGACCTCTGCGAGAATTGTACCTGTCTAGAACCGTAGCGGCTTCCCCTGTCTATTCCATAGGGAGACGGCCCAGATGGCCCTAGATAGTACGCGGCCTGATCCCTCTCAAAGTCGGACACCACGTTATCCAGCGCTCGTACTGCTAACATCTCGTCGTTCTCCAGCATACTGAAGTCGGCCTGATTCGGGCGGAAGTCCATGGACCTCTGACGGGGGAGTTGTGAGGTAGCGGAGAGCGGCGGGGGAGACATAGGCGCCTGACGCATTGGGACCAGGCTGGGCGGACGGCGCCCGGCTCCTGCTCCAGGGTAATCCCTGGTCGGGTGATACACGTCGGAGTCACCTACCATAGGGTCGCCTATATCTCCAAGTGCCGGGTCGGCGTCTGTCTGGGCCCCTTGGTTGACAGTGCCGCCGTCATCGCTCCCAGAGATTATGCTGCTTGCAGCTGAGGCATTCTGCTGGACCGACGGTGCAATGGCCACTAGACGATCTTCCACTGGACTTTCACGTTGTGCATGGGCGCTGTACCCATCTCGTGGTTGTGTCCGTCTTTGTCCAGGCCTACAGACAAATGTCATGATATTAAAGAAAGGCCTTATGGTGAAGAATATCAGAAAGCAAGTTTAAAGTCATCAAAAAATCTATCAAGAACCTCTTTACTAAACAACTCTAAGAACCTATCACCTTTCTGAACAAGAAGTAATCTAAAGTTGTGTTTTTATAGAACCTCATTTCTAGGATATTATGTTTCCCTGCACAGTTTGTACGGGAGACGAACAATTCGGCCACACTGGCTCGCCAGCTCGGAGTGATCATAATGGTCATTGTACTCAGGAAGCAGTGGAACATGTGGGTCTCGGCAAAGATGTTTGGATCAATACTTAAGAGTTTCTTCGTATTTGGATGGCGCTGATGTCGTTCAGCTCAGCTGAAACGGTAAACGAATCAGATTCGATCAAAAATTATTCTAGGCCTATACTTTTATTCCGGGCCAGAGAAAAAGTCGGAAACAAATATTATATCCCCACTTTAATAAAGTGGAATCGTTGACCCCACCGATTGACGGCCATGCTTACCTGGTGTTCCGTTTGGGCTCGTTACTGACAAGCATGAGTAGAATGATAAGAACAACAACGATAAGGGCCAAAACAGCTGCCACGACAATAACTGTGGGAAACAAAAGTAACAGTTTGGCAAATAATAGATTCACTTCCTTGTGGAGATCGCTGGAATGCAGTCAGTGGCCGTGTCACGCACACAGCCCTGTTTGACCTCAGTTTCTTGTCCCGAGGTCAAGCACGCATGGCCCAAAAGCGTACGCGAGATTTTACGAGATTTATTCGAGACTACAGAAAAACACAAAAAGTTCCTGAATACATGCATTGTTTGGCCAAGATGGCTAAATAAGTGAAAAGTTGAAATCGTGTGCTTTATTTGATACCCAAAATAACTGCTTTTGACAAATATAAAGTGTTGTTACGGCCTGTCAAACAAAATCATATTTTTTATCAAGAAAAGCGAGGGCAGACAGTTTTTAGGTGTACATTCGATTCTTTAAAAAGGCCCAAAGAAACGGCAAGGCTCAGTAAATAGAGGAAAGTATACGCCTCATTTTCATGAGAAACACGTGCAGGAGACTTCTAATGTTTGGTCCAAATCGCCGGTTGAAAAATGAAGACTTTTGCGAGATTTCATGATGCGTGTAAACGAACGTAAAGTACGCCGACGTACGTTGGCCTGAAAACATTGTGAATAGCACGTGCGAACGTGCAATGAATGACTTCTTAATATCAAGCAGGCCATACTCGTGCTCGACCAATCAGTGGGCGTATGGGTCACAAGGTCACACCGTGTTTGGGTTCCTCGCTCTATGCTTTACAATGGCGACGATCTTTTCGCGTTGTGAAAAATGGAAGTTGTTGAAACATTAGGTGTACATCGAATTCTTAAAATATTAACATCACGTTCACGAGATTTTTTGTAGATGAAGGTTCATTCTTTCCTTTGATTATCTCAACATTTGGGAGACTTTCGTCGTTCTCGAAAAAAACGGAACTTTCATGGCCTAATTTTTAGTCGATTTGTCCGTGAAACAATATCGTCAAAATCCTTCTTTTTTTTTGAGAAAAAAAATACCTTGATGGATGTATGAAGTAGGTCTTTAACTACCTAAAACGACTTTGTTTGTTTGGATCGGTTGTGGTTTGCCATGAAAAGTGCGAATTTTCTGAAGCCCTTTTTACGGCCATCGTTCGCTGGCCTCGCGTTGCTGTCATTTTGCGTGGACGAGAAAATAGAGCAGCTACGCGTGACACGGCAACTGACTTGAATGCAAGTGTTTCATAAATTACTAAGCATACTTTCAAAGTTCTCTTTTTCAAAACGTGGTAGAAATTCCAAAGTACTCGAAGCTTAGACTGTTTCCATGAATTCTGTAGGCATAAAAGATGCCAGAGAAAAGAACATTCGAAGTTTGGATTCTGGTGTTCTCATATCTTTCACGCATAAGAAAACCCTTTCTATGCATGGAAAACTGGCTATTTTTGGTTTTTGATTCTAACTTTCGTTTCTTTCTCGGGTTTTCCCCTCTTTTACTATTGAAAGACAAACCAATTCCCAGTACGAATGAATGTTCAAACAACTCTCCTAACAAAAGCAAAAGTGTACATCTCACTTGCTATAAGCCATGGCGGTAGGGCCCCTGTAGGCGTGCATGATAAGGCCACGTCGAACTCGCCGCTGGCCAGGCACGTTGCATTGTAGTCGTTTTCGGGCACGTAGGAGTCGTCGCATGTCAGGGTGATCATGTCGCCCTCTAGCACCCGGACACGATTCAGGGAGTCCACCTGACCGTTAGCGACCTCTGGCACGGTGCAAGGTTGGGCATCTGTCGTTGCTGTGAAAACAGTGAAACAGTCCCATTTATACAACACCTGAATAAATCCCTGATTGGTGGATCGTTGATCACCAGTCATTGAATTATTCGTCCCAACGCACGGCGCGGCCGCACCACAAAAATAGAAGTTCTATTACAAGCTGAATATAAGTTCCATTGCACGGTTGCGCTGTAACAAAAATCTGATTCACAGAATGGCAAATTGGCGGACGATACGCGAAAATGTCTGTTTGTTCTCCTAACAGAAATATCAAAACTCTAGGTAACGCTGACGCTGCCAACACAAGAAGCAAATAAGATATGCTGCCATGCTGCCAAACGATTGGATGCATTTGAATATGGTAGTTCTAAACTTGTCCAGAACAGTTTTGTTTTTAAAATACATAGGCCTAAATTGGCTATGAAAGTTGTGAACTGGGTTGTGGAATAGTTTTAAACCGAGATAAATTGAATATGCTGGCTATGTTCCCAACTTGTCGTTCCCAACAGTTTTGAGTTAATCGGATTTGGAAGTGAACCACCAGTTATTGCCATCTGAAAAAGTAGAACTTTGATGCAAGTACCAGTTCACAAGTCAACCAATCAGATGACAAGGCTTTATTCAGGTGTTTTATAAAACATGAATGTTTCACATTTGTGCAATGGAAAGAATAATTTCATTCGGTGAAAGAATGAATACTCCATCTGTCACCTCATGAAATTATTCTAACCATTGCACTCACAAACATTCATTATTTGTATAACGTCAAATATATACATGTATCTATATAAATCTTCAAACGCAATCAAGTTAGTTTGCAGTATTATCTAAAGGACACGAATAGCTATTAAAAGTTTGACAAATAAATACAATAGTAAAAACAGAATGGAAACGAGGCTTTACTTAGAGCGGTACTGATTGGTGGAACAACGGGCCCGGGTGCAGTTGTGGCAGAGTCTCCAGAGGGCGTTTCGCTGGCCGTTGTCCCTGGAACGACGGTCGTTGACTGTGTGCTGTTTGATGGTGCTGTCGGAGGTAGGGTCGTTGGAATCGCTACGACAGTTTCAAAGGTAGAAAAAAATATCATATACGCGGACCATCATTACACATTTCATAAACCCTGTATGTATATTAAGGTCATCGTATTGCGTTTGTTTTGATTTCGTGATCAGAACTCGAATGCCTTTCACTGCCTGCCTCTTTAGAGTCAAGATGAAAAATGAACTCCAGGCTACTCACGTAAGCAGGCGGGTGCCTGGGACCACGTCCCGTCCAGCTGACAAACGAAGGCCTCTTTGTCCCGCTGGTACCCGGCTTGGCAGGTCACATCAACCTCTTCACCGTAATAATACCTTTGAGCTTGGCTATTGTATGAGCCATATGGCACGTTGGACGGCAAGTCGGCAGGAAAGCATAATTTTCCAACTGCAAATAAATAATAATGTAACCATAACTGTCACCTAAACCTCTCGTGAAAAAAATGTATCAGGACTGACCTCACGTTTATTCTTCATGATATGACAAAAGCAAATTTTCAGAAGAAAACAACCACCACTTAATTTCTTACAATAGATTGTGCCTATTTACCTATTTCTCGAGATTCTGCAGGATCATGAATGCCACATCTATACAAGTCAAACAGAATGACTTACTTTCTAGCAGAACCGATTTCCCAAATTTATTACGATAGCTTTCTTATAACTTAGATTGATCGGCCTATTCCAACAATAACACGTTCAAATTAATACTCGGTCAATTAGATTTGATTAGAAATTCAATGCTGCCTTTTACGAACATTCAATCATGTTAGTAATTCAATTTCATTGGTGGGCATTCTGTCGACAGTAAAGTTCAATTATTAAAATTGTCGCTATATTCAGTCGAATTCAACACATCAGGATTCAATAAGCCTCTGTACTGATGACGTCACACTTTGTTTACTTAGAGCGCCTATGGGGCTACGAAACCGTCGTCCCCACCAAGTCCAGGCTCCCATAAGAAAGCACACATGTCAATAAAGTGTGACGCTAACAAAGGCTTATATCATCCATAGGCAAACACTGGTTGTGTGCATTAATTTGTGTGTGTGCTTTAGGACTGTTTTGAAATCTTTTTGTATTTTTCTACATACAAGTAATAGTATGACATTAGATATTTCATTGAGAAATAGGTATTTCATTGAGAAGGTCATAATTCATAGTTGTTGAGATAAAAACAAATCTTTGTCAATGTGTTGTTAAAATAAAAATAGCGGCCACGTTTCATTACAGGCTGGTTGAAGGAAGAATAGAGAGAGCGCCCTCTAACTACAATTAGCAGACACTCCAGGCTTCGAGGCACTGTCTTCTAATTTGAAAGCATTAATGATGCAAAAAGGACCAAATTTTAATAAAGACATTTGACAAAAAAGAAAGAAACATGATCACCCCTAAAAGAAACAAGTCAGGTGTGTTTACAAACACAAATGCCCCGCAACCGTGACTGTTCCCATGACATAACACCACTCTTCTAACATCAACTTACATGTACCTTGGTTACATGGAACGTTCATTGACAGCATTAGTGTCTTCTGTAGGTTTTATATGAATTAATCCCTAATCCCTATGATCTCAGAATAAATACAAGATTTCTATTGTTTTAGCCACTGTGACCTTGACCCTTGACCTTTCGACCCAAAATGCGATAGGCCTATTTGGATTACCAAGAACGATCCGCAAACCAAATTTGAAGTTCACATGTAAAGTATTTCTCAAGTTATCGCGCTGACAAAATTTCTTTTGTTTTAGTCACTGTGACCTTGACCCTTGACCTTTCGGTCCCAAATGCAATAGGCTTCTTAGGATTGCCAAGGACAATCCACAAACCAAATTTGAAGTTCATATGTAAAGTATTTCTCAAGTTATCGCGCTGACAAAATTTCTATTGTTTTAGCCACTGTGACCTTGACCCTTGACCTTATGGCCCAAAATGCACATATTGCAAACATTTAACTTGATAATCTTGAACGCCTATTAACGGAACAGAATGACTGAAATGAACTTGAATGATAAGAGCGAAAATTGTGTGCAAAAAAAATTGAAAGTAATAATACCTAAAGAAAACCCTACTTTAATCCAAAACTGCATGAAATTGAAAACGTGCCGATCAAAATGCACACAATTTTGTTGAATTTTATACTGTAAATTATCTACATTGAGTACAGTGGACTTACATCTGTACAACAAGGCAAATCCTGTATCTCCCGGGGAACTGCCTCCAACTGCAAAAGACACATCGAAGCTGGTGGATGCAGACATTGAAATCCAGGTATCCCGTACGGCATCGCTGCTGCCATAAGTGCCAACCGTGGCACCAGCCGCCTGCAGCCTCACGCTGTCCCCAGTTGCGAGTTTAAAGTACGAGAAAGAAACCACAGCGTAGTTGAAAGCGGCTGGTATCGCGATCGTGTTATCAAAGCTGTCGCCACTTGTGTAAGGCTTTGGAAAATTGGGAGAGGTTTCATATCCACCGTTTACACCGTCACTGTAGCTGTTTTCCGCTATATAAAAAGTAAAAGAAACGAAATGTCAACTTCAATGACAATCTTTTGGTAATGTTGTTGTTAAATCAGCGCATGTACAGTTAAGTGGGCATAAACTCCAAGGTTAAGGTTATGATTAGCAACGGGATTGTTCATTATCCTTATTCTTCTTGGATCCTTCAAACCGCAACCAAGAAGTTTAGGAAGAATGTAAATCCATGACACTACTTTACATGCGACTTGATACCACTTATAAGATAAGGAACAAAGAACGTGCCGATCGGAAACGTTCCCAGTACAAACGCATTCGGTGTTTGGAATAAAGAACTCACTTCTATATATGGATGCTGTTGCACTGCCACCACATATTTCGTCCATGTCTCCAGCGCAGGCCATATTGCATCCAGAGTTGCCTTGCCTGCCGCCACCTGATAAAGAATTACCACAAGAGCATCGCCTGCCCTTTGCCATGCCAGCGAACGTATGTCCTCCATTGCGACATATGTCCAAGCATAACGCGATGTCTATAGCGTCACTTTCGGTGGAGAAAGACGTTAGGGGACCCGTGGCAGAAGACGAGTAGCAACCTTGGTACATAGGGTCTAAGATCAGGGGAAAGAGTCAAGAATCTACAGTCTTTTGAAATCTTTTAGACAGCAATAATATTTTTGTTTGCCATATTTGACGTATTTTTTTGGATATCGGTTTTTTAATTATACCTGGCTAATCCTCTTGTACATCTAACATGAACGAAACGTAAACCAACAGTTATACAAAAGAACTCGAAGGCCTTTGAATGTGCAAATGTACCGTGATGATTCCATTTTTGTAACACAGCTATACAAACATTTGTGGCACGAATGGGACGGAGGTCGCTCCTGGCCCTCTTTTGTGTTGGTCATCGTGTTACCAGAATCTCAGGAATTATTTTGAGATATGGGGGGGGGGGGGGGTGTTAGGTAACAAAAGTCTAGGGTTTGCAAACGGTATAGGGAGATTGGGGGGTACAGGTACCCCTCCGTCCCATATCGTGCTAGGTTTACAATGTATAGACAAAAGAGCTCGAAAGCCTTTGAATGTTTCCCATGATATATCTCATTTTTTAAGATCCTGAATATGTTGTCATTTCAAGCGGTGAATTGTTTTAAATGTATTTTGGACAGCAGTATTTAGAGGAAATCTAATTCTATTTCAGACAAAAGCAAATGCACGACAAGCTTAACAGTCAACAATGTGAGACGTTCAAAAAATGATGGTATAGGCAATCAAAAGCAAATATCAATAAGACTAATAAAGTAACAGGCAGTCACATCTAAAGTAAGGAAAATGAGAGGTAGCTTTGCGTTGGTTTAGTAATCCACTTACAGGCACATCTGACTCCAGCATCGTTGACATGGGAGCACGTGCCCACTCCGTAAGTCAAACCCGTACATTCTAAAAGGCTGTCCTCGCTGCCTGTACACGTGACGTCAGTCAGCCAGGAACCTGCCCTCCCCTGACCAAAGAGGGCGCTCCTGTCCGTCGACATTGCGCCTCCAGAAAATCCTTCAAATGAAATGACATCCTCAAATAGTCTGGTTCCCTGACCCGACAATTTTCCCCGACGCCCAGACGTCTAAATTGTAGGTCAGGCGACCTCCTCGCTTTATCACTTATAACTTTTAATGTTCCGATCAAATTTTTCAAAAACATTACCTGCATCATATGTCATACAGTTTGATAATTATGTAAAAAAACATTGACGAATGTTGACCTGTAATCTTACAAGTTATAAGGACCCAAATATCATCTTAGCAGGCGAAGCCAAAATGGAGACCATCGCCAGATTCAAATAGGCCTAAGTAGCAAAGCTCGCCCCTCGCACGATTTTAGTGCATAATTGATGCACATAATCGTCATTGAATTTTTAGTTTTCTTGATGCAATTTATAAATATTAATTATCAATTTAGTCATTAATTTTTTTGATAAGCAAGATATTTAAATAAAACCCTATTTTATACCCAGAAATACCCGCGCGCTATCCGAGATTGTCGGCGAAATACATTTGGCAAAGATTCATCAGGAATAGTCAGAATCTTTTGGTCTGGGAACCAGGCTAATCCTCAAAGTCAAGTAGATTTTTTTTTTTACAGGAATGAAGCCTGTATCAACTCTCAAGAGATCTTACAATGTTTCCCCCCCCCAAAAAAAAAATATAAAAAATATAAAAACTAACGAAAAGAGACAGTGTCAATAAACATAATGTTAAATAAATTCCAGATTATACTGTAAATGTTGATCTATGGTTTAGTGCGGGTATAATTTTTCCACTTTACGACAGGGGCGTAGCAGGGTCATTTTTATTGGGGGGTAAAATTTTTTGAAAAGGGCACTTGCACATCCGTCGTGAAATGTAGACAGGTTTTTTTCTCGAGACACTTTGCCTCCGTAAAATCAAAAAGCGGGAGGGGGGGGGGGGCAGGTTCCATCTGTCGATGGGGGCGCTGTTCAAAAACCGACAATTATGCACACAAAGGGCCAATATATGGTGCTTTTCAGGGCGATACATGTGCTAAATTCATAAAATGGCACCCTTTTTGGAAAATGGCACTTGTTCAGAAAAAAAGGGCAGTTAGTAAAAAAGTGCACTCTTTACAAATTATTAGGGGGGGGGGTAATCCCGTTGGAAAAGGGCATTTGAATGGAAAAAGGCAATCTTTACAAAATATTGGGGGGGTACATCCCCCTTCCCCCCCCCCCCCCCCCCCCTGTCTACGCCTATGTGCCACATACAACCGCTATGGATAAGCGCAATTGCATTCTGCATACTTGCAATTCAAGGTACTTTTGCGAGAAAATACGAACCGAGTTGTCTGCAGACGACATCGCCTTTCCTCGTGTCCCAGGATGCATCGCAGACGGAGAGCCAGGCACCATCGTGATAAATCTCTACCCGTCCCTGGAGGGCGGTGTTGTCAGCTCCCTCAAGCCTCACATCACCCTCTGTCAAAAAACCCGCTTTTTTGTTTAATTTATGGTTCGCATTAAATTTTAGTTTCACAAAAAAGGTTTTGACATTGGCAATTTGGCATCCAAAACATAAGTTCCGTGACCATTCTCTGGCTAGGATGGTTTGACGATGGATTTGACTTCTATGGACCATTTATAAAGAAATTAGCCCCCCGGTCCCTCCCAAAAATCCCGGCATTTTTCGCTAGGGGGCCAAATCCAAGATGGCCGCCGGCGCCATCTTGAAAAATTAACTTTTGAACCAGAGCACTTAGAATCATGTATGAAGACACTTTTTCAGGTAAGTCGACCATGAGGATTCCGACTCCGACATCAGTTTGACGCTATGGCATCATTTTGACCCAGAAATCCAAGATGATCCCCATTCGATAGAGCAAAAACATAAATTTCAAACGGGAGCACCTAGAATCATGAATGAACACAGTATTTTGGCAAAATCGTTGCGCTGATGCAATTTAAGAAGGTCCTGGACCCATCCAGCATAAATGGAGCGAGAACCCGCAGCCAGACATGATGGTCAATGGTTATTAAGGAGTGAGGTCCGAATGGGATCGAGGGCCATATCAGCTGGTTTTAAAAATGATTAGCACAATGAAGTTCGGTCTTGTTTTAACAAAGCACAATTCATTTTCAGGTTTTGTCCCCACTGACTACGGCAATCATCATAATCATCACACTGCATATATGTTGGGACCAAATTATTCGCTTTTTATATATTTTATATCACAAACACTTCTGCTACTTCTTATTGTTATTGTTTCCTCGGATTAGTACACGCACTGTAATGATGCTGTGGTTTCCCTGGTTTGTGATGTGAATTGAGAACACATAGCTTACGACAATGTCCACTGTTCCATGTGTCCTCCAGTGTGGTAGGCTTTGCGACAAGGCCACCGATCCCATTACCTCAATTGAGATGTGGGAAAATCAAGAAAAAGGCCCTGTAATGGAGCGGTCAGAACAAGTTTTGAGACGTCCACAAAACTGTCATTGCAATAAATGTCCTGTCGGACAGTGTGTCTGTGATACATTTAGGTTGACCTTTTGAAACACCAAGAAACTAGACAAGAAACTTGAAACAGAGCTACAAAAAAAGAAAAAGAGAGGTTGACGAATGCCAATCTCAGTCTTTGTCTATGTCTGTTGTCTAGTTCTGTTGCCCAGCTGCGGCTTCAGCTGCCAAGGAGCTGCAATCGAGTCTGGGGGGGGGGGGGCAATGCATCATAAAACAAAATGTTAATGGAGCTGTAACATGAATTAAGCAAAGCACCCAGAATCAAAGCCAATCCTGATTTCGTATGATCACGCATGGCCAGATTTCAAGAGACACACATTAACCATGGAAGATCAGAGCCTGCAAGACAAAATCGACTGTCTGATCGATCCTGCATTATGATCACCCCTATGCGCTTGAGATCAGATATCACCCTCAAATGTCGTTTGAAATTATGTGCGTAGCTATCAGAATATAAGTGAAGATGACAAACTCTCACGAATGCACTATGCCTTTCTCCATGAGGATCAAACGATCTTCTTTGACCACATCAGAACAGTTATCTTTGAGGAACATAAGCTAAGGGCACTTTAGAGCCTCCTCGGAGATGACAGGATAAACCTTCTCTGTGTGTATGGCTTCCCAACATCCAGGGTCAAGTCACCCTATTCATGCGAGGGCAAGATTGCCTTCCACTCCCATCCTCGAAGGAGACAGAGCGACCTAGACTGTGACGCGTCTGTGGGGGGAGGGTGGTTCTTATGTCGAAGCAGCACTGTCCTCCATCGGTGTCAGCATAGCAGATAGCAACTGGTGCACAATGTGGCTGATTGGCATAGGAATGAATAATCAAACTCGTTCCGTAGGCACCGAGGGTCAAGAAGCTAGAGCAGGAGGAGAAGGAGTTCTGCTTGCAATCTGCTTTGCGTGGGAAGAGGGGGTAGATCTGTCCCCGAGCACTCCCCCTCTCACCTCTCTCATCACACAGTTTGTCATAAAGCTACCAACCACATCTGCCAGAAATGCCACCGTCACCCTTCTCGGGATGACTTACAGCAAGGAGCTTATTGACTCTTACTACAAGCTGGGCATGGGGATCAGCTACCTAAATGTGCTTCTCCTCTCCAGGACCTTCTTAAATTGCATCAGCGCAACGATTTTGCCAAAATACTGTGTTCATTCATGATTCTAGGTTCTCCCGTTTGAAATTTATGTTTTTGCTCTATTAAATGGGGGTTATCTTAGATTTCTGGGTCAAAATGATGCCATAGCGTCAAACAGATGTCGGAATCGGAATCCTCATGGTCGACTTACCTGAAAAAGTGTCTTCATACATGATTCTAAGTGCTCTGGTTCAAAAGTTAATTTTTCAAGATGGCGCCGGCGGCCATCTTGGATTTGGCCCCCTTGCGAAAAATGCCGGGATTTTTGGGAGGGACCGGGGGGCTAATTTCTTTATAAATGGTCCATAGAAGTCAAATCCATCGTCAAACCATCCTAGCCAGAGAATGGTCACGGAACTTATGTTTTGGACCCAACTAACATTGTGTCAAAAAGACAGTGACTGAGAAATATCAATAAAATATGTGGCTTGCTTCATTAAATATAGGTTTTCCCGGACAATTTCGGAAAATGTGCGTTTGAATTTGTAAAACATAAATTCAATTTGGCGCCGAGTTTGAGAACGACGTACATCCTGGTTTCATTTTCGCAGTAACTAGCATTCGATTTCATTTTGCATCAATCAAATGAATGAATGTACATAACGTTTCATTTAAGGGATTACAAATACGTGATTAGGCTTTCGGTTTGACGTATGCGTTGCCAATTATTACGAATGTGCAATCCAATTCGCAGAAAATCGATCGTCTATAGTGACACAGGCTGAATTGAACATTCTTTTTTATTTGTTACAATTTAAATTCGCATTTTCTGCATTCAATTTAAATAAATTATACAGGCCTATACAAATCATGATACAAGTTTGATTCATTAATTAATGATTCATTAATTAATCAATGCATGCCTTATTGATCATTAATGTGTTTGTTCTTATATACACGCCTATGTGAAATGTAGGCAAATAAATTGTGTAAATGATATATAATATGACCAATATGAAATTACTCAAAATAATCTTGTAGCCATATCATTGAGACGGTAAAGGGACACATCACGTGTCATGTTACATGGGATCTGCATGGGGACTTTTTGACTATTCAAAAATTCAATCATTTAATCAACCATTCCTCAAATGTTACTTTAACACATAAATGAATTCCAATGCTTGACCAGGCATACGTTAAATAACACTGCTATGGAAATCGGCTGCACATTTAGCGAAAAAGATTGATGATAAATTAAAAGGAAAACAGGATTGCAGATGTGCCTTCGATTTCGCGCTAAAATGAAATGTCAATACACTAAATGCAGTGCACATTCGGGGAATCGTAAGCTGATTTTTCACGACTGAATGCACTTTCACGGAAAAAGAATTATCATTTGTTAAATAGAAACAGAGATTTGGAACGTTCATTCTATTTCGCACGAAAACGAATGCTTCTTTTACAAATTCGTGTACACGTTTTCCGAAATTGTCCGGGAAAACCTATATTTTTTTAAAATACAGTCGGCTGTACGTGTTATCGAATACTGTAGTAACTGTGAACATTTCACGTGGCATAGGGCCTACTCCTTCACAGGATATTCCTATTCAATAGAAACAACACAAAGTATTTCTAATGTCCATCACTGATCATTTACCCATACGCATTGATAAATACCCTGGAGGTTCCCTTACCCCTTGAATGAACGAAATCTTGCAAGGGATAAAAGACAAATCTCACCATTCTCATTGCAGAAAAAGACTTATTCATTTGTCATACACACACAAAATGTCTGACGATAAAATAATGTTGCAATCAGTGAATAATGTTTCAATCTTCATTTAAATTTGAGTGCCTGTGTGTACAAGGTAAGTAAAAAAATACGAAACCAAATGTCGGGACTATTGTTTTAAGTGAAGCTCTGCATGTAGCACTTTCAAAATCTAGGATATGAAAGCCGAATTCATAAGCTTTATTTTAGTATACAAGAGTCATTCAAATCACTCATGTCCTTTTCAAGTTACGGAATTTTAAACACAACCCCCGTTTTAAAGTTCTGTCCACGGATCACAAAAAAGGTTTGCGTTCTTTCAGCAAAACGAAAAACAATTCACACACATCCCTATGTGCTTTGTTTTCGTTTTGATGAAAGAACACTAATTATTTATTCCTACGGTGCTTCTTAAGACACACCGTTGGAAATGCCTTCTTTCGTTGATTTCTTCAAAATGAGAGCTTGCCAGCAAGAATAATTTCACAGGGAGTTTAGTCACCTTACTATCTTTCAACCAGTACGTTTTTCAAAACTATTTACGCCAGTTACTTTTTTGGATAGCTGCAAATGATGGACTCCGGCTTTAATGGATTGAACAAGTTCGAAGACACCATCCCCCCCCAAAAAAAACCAAGAGATTATGGTTGTTTGTAATACGTCAATGTTTAAAGATTTCTTACACGTCAATTTGGGGATTCCTTTGAACTTATTCAAGTTCCCCACATGAAGCAAGCCTTAGCCTATTTTTTGCCCAATTCACGGACTAATGAACCTCATTGTCGATTCAACTATCGAACTTTATCGTCTATTCGGACTATCGAACCTTCGGATTATCTAACATCACTCTATATCTGGACTAATGAACACTTCGGATTATCGAACCCTCGGACTAATGAACCTTTGAATTAAACGATCCTTTGGACTATCGAACGTGTGGACTATCAAACCTTTGGACTATCAAGCGATAACCGTCATCAATACCTAGAATCTCATGTAAAATTAATATATGGAAAGATGATTACATTTAAAAGTTATATCAGGGGCATAAGACAAAGGACAGATTTTCGCTCTATAAATTTCTAAGCCGTTCCCTTGACTGTTCTTGATAAAGTGGCGCACACATCTAAGGGGAGTGGACATGGCCGTCCTTACATTTCATATAGTGGATTGATAGCTGTCTTATTCAATATTCCGAACATGAATTATATCATATCCTTCAATGCATAGCGCCTCCCCAGTTCAGGTTCTGTCATACGTCACGAACGTGATGTATTTGGCCGTTGTTATTACATTTTTTTTCAATAGGTATCCACTGATGCATTACAAAACTCCACTCCATACCTAAAATTCTTTCCTTTATTATGTTAATACATCGGCCATGGCTTCATGGTTGATATACGGAATTCATAAAACGGTACTTTCATTTCTGGTTATTAGGGAAAACGAGATTATCTCTTCGGGGCGAACGTAAAACTGAACTACTGCATATTTCATGGTACAAATTGTGTCTGATTAAAAAATATGAGTGATGAATAACATAATTCTGATGAAATATATTTACATTAAAACATTTTAAGCAACTTTCAATGCGTTCAGAAAATTGTGTAGTTCGAATTACATGTAAATCAAAATTCCCCTATATTGGAGAGAAAACCATCAGTCAATATCTGTGCTGTATTATGACTTGAGTGGGTTTGTTTCTGTAGTGCGAGTATTCTTGTTTTAGTTTAGAATTTTGGTTTAGGTATCTTTTGTGAAAAAAGTAAAAACCGTTAATTAAAGGTCATGAAAAATTGGGCTACAAAACGCGCTTTGAACGAGATGATGATAATCGGAAATAACATTTAAAAGTAGGATATAACCATCCACACAACTATCCTTACAAAACTGGGCGTTTCTGTGTTATTCCTGTATTATGCATGCGAGAACGAATTTCGGGGTACACTTTTGCGACCCCATAAATTCGAGCTGTTTGGATGCTAGTTGTGATTTCATTCGTACGCGTAAAGTGTTCGCCTTTTGCGGACGTTGAAAAAAACCACATTTTTTTGCATTAGTGTTTAGTCACCGCGCGCTGTTCCCGATACACACAACGTGTATAGCGTACACTGAGAACGACACGAAAAACGTATTCGTACTCCGTCATGTCCGATGTAAACAAGCGGTTTTTTTTCGTCTTTTCTCAGGAACGGTAAGACATTAGGTTGGTTTCCTTTCAACCAGATGTTTGAAATAGGCTAAGTAAACAATCCAAAACATAAATTTTTCGGGGATTTCAGGACCTAGTGCCCCTTTAAGACGTTGTAATTATATTACCGAAACACTTAAATTCAAATGAAGGTGGTACAGTATAGTTAAAGCTTCAGGGATTCCATTTCCTACCTTTTAAATAAAATTGTCCCATAAAATTCACAGAGTTTACGCAAAACAAGTTGAAAAACCCTTGTCCGTTTTACCGTCCTTCCGTTACCGACCTCATTAATTTTCATAATTCATGAACAAGAGGTATTTATGCCCTCAAAAAGTGGGGAAATTGAAGGTAGCATTACAGCAATACAATTGTGACATTTGTGTGCTGTAACTAATAACAGTGTCTGTGATACACACATTTGAAATTTTGTTAAATGAGTGAAAACGTCCTTCCGTTACCGTGGAATTGCCCCATACATGCTAGAAATAAGGTATTGATCGAAATATCTCTTATTGCATTAATAACAATCAAGGTTTAAACTTTACCAAATTTTTTGACTTCTTTGTAGTATAAAAATGTTTTTCACTTTACGACACGATTTCTCAAAAAATGTTTGATAAAATTGGATTTTCTTTGTTAATTTCTTATACTTGAATGTATAATCTGTAATAAAAATGTGAAACTCGGTTAAAAAATAAAACTTTTTTCTTAGCCATGTCCATCAAACCGTGGAATTGCCCATTAGATTCATGAATCAGATAAGTGGCATGCCTTCGCAATATAATATCACATTAAAATGTCATGTTATACATGTGTACAAGGGCGGATCCAGGGGGGGCCAAAGGGGGCCATGGCCCCCCCCAAAAAAAACGAAATCAATTTTTTTTTTTTATGTGACATCGCAATAACGGCAGGCAATGAGTACACCACCATCTTTCCCTCAAAAAAAAAAATTGGTTAAAGTGGTCAGAAATTGCCTCAGATCGCACCACAGAGCATCTAGAATCCAAAAAAATTTCGGGGCCCTTAAGCGGGCCCCGAACCCCACGCCGTAATTTTTTGACCCACTTTTTGACATCGCAATAAAGGCAGGCAATGAGTACACCACCATCTATTCCTCAAAAAAAACATTGGTTAAAGTGGTCAGAAATTGCCTCAGATCGCACCACAGAGCATCTAGAATCCAAAAAATTTTCGGGGCCCTTAAGCGGGCCCCGAACCCCACGCCGTAATTTTTTTGACCCACTTTTTGGGGGGACCAAAAAATGTTTTGGCCCCCCAAAAAAATTGTGTTCTGGATCCGCCCTTGCATGTGTATTTACATTTTTATTATAGCAATATATCAAATCTTGTTATTAATTAAAAATATTTAGCATCGCATAACATTGTAGCATTTGACCAAAAAAAGGCACTATGGCTTACTTTTTGGTGTATATGGCAACTAAAACAAAACAAATTGGGGTTTATTTTGGGGGGTTTTTTCAGTTGTGTTCCTTTTATTTGTAATCATTTTGGCGTTGGAACTAGGCAAGGAGTAACTTGAAGAAATGTTAAGAGGTTTCGGCAATGGTATTTACCAAGGAAACAACAAATAGGCCTAGGGTGGCTACATGTCTAAAATGAGAGGTGCATTGTACCACATTTTTAAAACAAATTCAATGAAAACTAGACTTTGCAAATGGAGTTATTTATTTCACCGGAATTTATTCAGACCTGTCGCAAATGGAATTATACAGTGAGTGTAGTTTTAAATGTATTCATAGATTGGAAATCACTATCTCGTTGTAACAATCATCATCCAAAGTTATTCTTAAACTAAACCCATGAGATGGGGATGGAAACGTCAATCTGATCGACTACCGTCGTACATGGGCATGCAAATTTAAAACGTGAATTACAAATTTAATATAAGTCTATACAGAATACAATGGCTAAAACTCATGCAGGATTGCTTTTGATATTGTATTAATGGAATACGGGGGAAATGTAGGGTAAATCTTATAATATACGTTTGAAATGTACATACCGACTGGCGATGACAGAACTTCCGGAGATGTTGACATGAGGAGGAAAAGTGTCAGAAAATAGGTCCCACTGTGAGCTGTCATGGCGGTCCTCTGCTAGCTTTAACTCGTATCTTTTCGACAAATCGTCTCCCGTGATGAACTATTCCAATGCCGATACAAAATGTACTGAGAAGGATCAAGCCTACATCAGAATAGCATCTCAATATTCTCGATTAATGGTTAACCTTGTTAATGGCAATCTTGATGGGTGGATGTGGGTGGAAATGGTTCCCATAGACCTACATGTACATTTATCCGTAGTACATCTGCATGACTCATAACAGGACAGCGTATAGTACGGGAGCATGGTGGGTACCGAACGGGCGCGGCTTACACCCTCTCCTTTGTCGCGTGTTCAGCCATGCGTGGTTGTAAATACAATGCACTAACAGTTCACTGCCCAAAGAGTAGACTTGCAAAACGTCTCTTATATGCCGTTGAAAGACCTATGGCAGCGTAGAGTTCTGGAATTTAAGTTTTACCGCTGAGGGCGTAATTTGCACGAAACCAAAGCGAGACTGACACAACCATTCGTTTACTAAATGCTGAATAAAAAAATCAAACAGTGCTCAATATTGAAGTCGCTCATTGTTGTTTTTCATTAGAAGTGACTAAACTTATGAACTTCACATTTTCGCGGGAAGTTCGGAGAATGAAATTCGAAGGACGAATTCTTCAATCCTCATATACGTGTATTTTCCTCCTCAAATTCTAGAGCCCGTTTGGGTGAGGTCGAACGTTTGAAATGTTAAATATTAAAAGTTAGTCAGAGAAGCATAGCACTAAAAAAAATGGGAGGAGCCAACATGAGAAGACATCAAGCTAAAGAAGGGGCGGATCTTAGCATTTGAAGGGGAATGTATATAGGGCTGGTTTCGTATAAAATTTAAATTCCTATATGTAATCTGGATCTTTCGCATATTGTAATGTAATGTCACTGTTCTAAAAATCTTCATTTAGATTTGCGCAATACAACCAATAAGACTGTATTTCATTGAGTCCGAATTTCACACTACACCGCGGTGTATTACAGCGGGTCAAAGTCTACAAACGATGGCCAAGGAGTGAGGCGAGTTTAAAGTGTGAAAGGGGGTATAAACTGTAAAAAATAAAATATATTTGATATAGTGGATATTTTGCCGGAGGTAATGCCGGCAAGCTAACGTTTACCAAGGGTGCACACCGGTAAATAGGCCAAAATCCATCCGCCGAGCTCATGATATAACAGTTATATTCTCAAAATAGTCTATATTAGAGAGTTCTGAGCGCCATAAAATTGGGGAATTGAAGAGATATGGTAAAGAACCTCTGGCCCGGACTTGGGGCTTCCAATTCTGATCATTTTGGATGCTATTGGGCTCGAAAGTGGCGCTATTTTGCCATGTTGTGGAGGGATCGTTTTTCAAGATGGCTACTTTTCCGCTTTGGGGAAAATAGGGGTCGTCTTCTTTGGGTGAGAATATCTCGAAAAGTCAATGGTCAACCCACCAAAAAAATGAAAAGAAAACGAAAGATGACACGTTGATCATCATTTTTCTGTGCAGCTTGAATACCTGTGAGAGTTCTGAGTATTTTTAATAAGAGTTTTGAAGTATGGGCATTTAGCACTAGTGTCTATGGGAATTTATTTGCAGGGTTGCATCCCTAAAGGTTTGCCGGCGGCAATCCATATCAACAGAGGGCGCTGTACTCTTTAAGATAGGGCTGAATTATAAGATGTATTAAATTCCCATTAAAGGGAATATACAGCATTTGCAAACATCGAAAAATAAAGCTACTAGTTTTTACGAAAAACCTTACTAGGATGTTGGTAAATGACAGTCTAAAGCATCCCGTATAATTATGGCACCTGGTGTGAAGTCATTTTCAAGAAAATGGTATTTTTGTGTACATTTCCAACGGTAGTCTGCCGACCACCGTTGGAAAAACCTAACTATTTTTCAACTACTGCTCCAACTTTACACTTTTTTCAGTCCAAATTGTGTTTGCTATTGGTTACATGTTCATGAACGGGTGCAGGCCAGCTAGACTGGTTCCCTTTACTTACAATTTTCCGGCATCTGTAACTTGATCAATTTTATCTTTAGTGGAGTCAAGGAACCAGACTACTAGAACATTTTTGTTTTTCTTGGTTTTTTCCAGCATTTTTAAACACAAAACTTCAAACATGTCAGTGTAACAATATTTGATCTATTATACTAACCCCTAAAATAGTTCATTTCTGAAAAATACAGCAAAAGCCAATGATGTGTAGCACATTTGGTGTAGTGGATAAGCAACGGCTATTATGAGCGGGATGACCCGGCGGCCCTTTGCTGGCAAAAGGGTGTAACTCTGAAAATCAACTTTTGAGCAAAACGGCTTTGAACATTCAAAATCTCACAATACACGGACAGTTCCATATTTGCTGATATTTTTGTAGTGTGAGATAGCTGACCTTATCAATTAAATCTGCTGGAGTTTTTGATAGTTTTGAGGAAGGAGTTTTTCTATAATAGCAGTTTTAAATGTTACTTCTCTATGACTGCTATACAACGTAAGCAAAGATAAAAGTGCTAATTCGGCAAAAGGATGTATGTCACTGTACGTTGTTCATTTCTGTGACACTATTCTGGTAAAAGGGGGTATGTCACTTTACATTGTTCATTCCTACAACATTTTGCAGGCAAAAGGGTGTATATATATTTACTTTGTTAAATTATGCAATACTAATCTGGCAAATGGGAGTATCTTTATGCTGTCTGGCAAAGCAATGTAAGAGGTATATACCCCCTTTTACCGGCAATAAGTGTTCAGTATAAGGGGTTATCTCGAAAATACACCCTTTTGCCAGAGAAAGTGGGACAAACTTTCAGAAAATCTATCCAGATAGCCCTTTCTAACTTTGAATTGGTGCGTAGCATTGAAATAATACTTTGACAGCTGAAAAGAGCGCCCTCAATTACCCCGAAAGTGAAAAAAATCTCAAAAAGTCAAAATGTTGAGATACACCCTTTTGCCAACAGAGGGCCGCCGGGTTCGTTCCCGATCTCCGCCGCATTTCTAAGGTTTTTCCCCCATCCCCAATTAAATAAGAATATTTATCTTTTATTAATTTAACATGTCTCAAACATTTTATTGCAGAGTATTACATTTTCTTTTTCAGATTTGCGGCTCTGGAGGATTTTTTTTAAAGGGAAATAAAGCCCGAAATTATAAAAAGGTCGGATTCCCATCTTGTGAATACGAAGTTACAACGATAATATTGGCATGGAGCCAGGCTAAAATTTGTCATCGGAAAATTTTAAGTACAAAAAAAACAGTAACTGCGCATGTTCAGTGCATATCCGGCAAGCTAACGTTTACTAAAGGTTTGCCGTCTCCGGCAAAATATCCACTGCCAATATATTTCAGTGTAAATAAAGGTTCCAACAATGAGTTGCGGGCACTTTTCCTCATTTTTCTAAATCAGTAAATTGATTTTGTACAATGTAATTACAGACTTCATCCTATTAAGGCTAATTATAATATCAGGGATGTTGTTAAAAATTATACAGAGTATTTCGTGTAAATAATTCATATTAATGTCAGAGGTCGAAATAGAATTTTTTTTTAACCGATTTTGTGGAATGAAAGGAGTTGGGGAGTAAGTAACCAAAATACACTTTTTAAATCCATATCAGGCCCGTTGCCACGGTAACAGGCCATCATGTGATTTGGCCTTTTGGGGCAACTTTAGGGAATTTTGACGTTCTTTACAAAGGCCGGCCAGCAAACTGCGAGGTACTGTCACAAAAGTAACTTTATCACTGCAATGCTTCATGTTTACCCTTACAATAATTGAAAATTCATTTGTAGCCTATATTTTTAGACCCTGCAATATTACAGCATTTTAATACAAATTGCCCAATTACCCATTTTTACCCCTCAAAAACTAACTTGCCCGGGCATTCGTAATACTTCCCGTTTGGCTCTCATAAGGTCCAATATGAGTCGTTTAATAATGGTGAATAAATCACCAGCAGGTCTGAAAATTGTCCAAATCGGGCAGTCTTCCTTTAAGGCGTCAGACACGAGAGCGTCTCGAACGCATTACAGTACTGACGTCGGTACGGTAGAAATTATTACTACACCTCATAAATAATCACGATCAAATTTGAGCGCGTCATTGGCCAATTCTACGGAAGCGTAGAAGGGCCAAAAGAAATTAAGAAAAAAAGAGCTCCTATCTCGCCGCGGCGAGTTGCTATCTCGCCGCGGCGAGTCGCTTTCTCGCCGCGGCGAGTCGCTATCTCGCCGCGGCGAGTCGCTATCTCGCCGCGGCGAGTCGCTATCTCGCCGCGGCGAGTTACTATTTTGTATCGGTGAGCGTCGGGCACAACAATGGCGATCCCTCCGGGTCCTATGGAACGCCAAAGAGGCATCGGCGTAGCCAGGGTTTTCATGCTAGGGGACTTGGAGTGGGGGGGGGGGGGGGCTTGAGGTTACAATGGAGGGGCGCCCCAAACTCCGAGCTGAAAGGCCGTGAGACAGGGTTCCTTCACCGGATATCCGCCCGATACCCGCCCTAGTCTAGTGTCCCACATACCACTCGGCCGGGCCACTATAGATGCACTACATTAATCCGTGTTCCACTCGCGCTCGCGGGATAACTGACTACCAATATTCAATTTCCAAGGGACCATAATAAACAGCCACTCGCGAAAAAAATCGCAGAAAATCGCCGGAAAAAAATTGGCTTAGGCCTATATTCTTCCAGGTAGTCATGGTAACTCATATTGAGGTATTTTTCTACGGATGCCAAATTTTCAGTGGGAGGGGGCGACTGGGCGTGCGAACTTTTTATGGGGCGGGGCGTGATAGACTTTTGAAATCGGTGTTGAAATATCGCAATCGGTCATGGATTTTCGCGATTGGTGATGAACTTTGCAATCGTTGATGAACTTTCACGATGCAGAAACGTCAATACTGGTCACCGATTAAGCTGACCTAAAAGGCGCACGTGGGAAAATCGTTCTAAAGGTAATTCCCCAATCTTTTTTTCTAGGAATCCTCACAAGTTGTTAATTCACGAGTAGTTGAACACTTATAATATTCCGAATTTAAGCTTAATATGTTGCAGACGCTTGTGTTACTTCTCCTATCACCGAGGTCAAGCTCGGATTTTGCCGAGCAAAAAAAAGCATGGTCAGTGGCCGGTTTTGCCGCATTGTTGACGTATATATGACATGCGCGTTATTAGCATATTAATTAGCGTGACTCTGCGTGACTTCGCGTGGGCCTCTGTATAGACCAATGGGAACCAACCAAAAAAGTTAATATTGTATTGGTAGAGAACTCGTGAAGGAGGGAGTCGTAAACTTTGTAACTG